CTTCTAGGGGGCCTCTTGGAGGCAGTTTGGACGCCTCTTGGGAGCTGTTCTGGGGCCTCTTTTGGGCCTTTGGGGCCTCTTGGGGGCCTCTTGGGGCCTCTTGGGGGTCTCTTGAGGGCCTCCTGGGGCCTCCTGGGCGCCTCTTGGGGCCTCCTGGGGGACTCTTGGGGCGGAAGGCTCGGATTTTCTGTTCGTGTTCCCTCTTTGGGGCCCTCTTGGGCCGTTTTGGCCGCCTTTTGGGCCGTCTTGGGGCCTTCTTGGTTCGTTTTGGGGCCCTCTTGGAGGCCTCGTGGGCCGTCGTGGGGTCTTGGGGGTCTCTAGGTCCGTCTGGGAGCGTCAGGAAACCGAAAAGGCGAGAACGCCAGAAAGCTTCGAAGCCGTAGGAAAATCAATCATTTTGGCCTCTCGGCGCCCTCTTGGGCGGCCTCTAGGAGGAATGATGGGCCGTCTTGGCGGCCTCTTGGGCCTTCTGGGGGCCATCTTGGGCGTCCTGAGGCGATCGTTCGGCGACTTGGGGCCCTCTTGGACCGGCTTGTCTTGACGGCCTCTGGGAGCCCTCTGGCCCGGCTTAGAACCCTTTGGGCCCGACAAAGTCACGCGACAAGATGCGTCAAGGCCCAAGGGAATTGCGCCAAGCCCCGGGAGATTTGTGAATTTGGGTCAGGCTCAGGGGATTGGCCAAAGGACCTGAGGACACGCCCATTCCGTGCCCAGAGAGGCACGGTGGCGGATGTGTGCGTACCCCCCCCAGGGGTGACGCGCCCGCCGAGCGAGAAATCTTATAATATATGCTTTGCGGCGGGAGCTTCCTGGCCGTACCGCTCGGGGAACGACACTACACGATGGTTGTACCGTATGTTCCGTCTGGACGTGCGCCTCCGAGAAGGACACTTAGTACTGGTATGTCCTCCTGCGTCCCATGGCGGCTTGAGTAGGGGATTGACTGCAACATCGATTTGTCCGAACATTGTATTTCTCCCAACCATCCTGTGGTGTTGGGTCCTCGTTTTGAAGAGACGGTGCCCCGCGTTCCTCTCCTCTCCTCCTCTCCTCCTCCCCCTCCTCCTTCCTCCTCCCTCCCCCCCTCCTTGCCTCTGCCTTCCGCATGTCCTTTCCTTCACACCCCTCACGCGTTTCGTGACCCCATAGGAGCTCCACCGAATGCCCCAATGGCGGTGTCCACATGCGTCCACGCCACCCATTTCGGCTCACCCCTCACGCGTTTCGTCGCCCCATAGGGAGCTCCACCGAAGGCCCCAGTGGCGGTGTCCACATGCGTCCGCGCCATAAATTTCGGCGCACCCCTGACGCGTTTCGTTGCCCATAGGGAGCTCCACCGAAGGCCCCAGTGTCAGTGTCCACATGCGACCGCGCCATTCATTTCGGCGCACCCCTCACACGTTCCGTGGCCCCGTAGGAGCTTCACCGAAGGCCCCAACGGCGGTGTCCACATGTGTCCGCGCTACCAATTTCGGCGCACCCCTCACACGATTTGTGCCCCCATAGAGAGCTCCACCGAAGGCCCCAGTGGCGGTGTCCACATGCGTCCGCGCCATTCATTTCGGCACACCCCTCACATGTTTCGTGGCCCCACAGGGAGCTCCAGCGAAGGCCCCAGTGGCAGTGTCCACATGCGTCCGCGCCACCCATTTCGGCGCACCACATGCGTCCGCGCCACCCATTTCAGCGCACCCCTCACACGATTTGTGCCCCCATAGAGAGCTCCACCGAAGGCCCCAGTGGCGGTGTCCACATGCGTCCGCGCCACCCATTTCGGCGCACCCCTCGCGCGTTTCGTGGAACCATAGGGAGCTCCACCGAAGGCCCCAGAGGCGGTGTCCACATGCGTCCGCGCCACCCATGTCGGCGCACCTGTCACAGGTTTCGTGGCCCCATGGGGAGCCCCACCGAAGGCCCCAGTGGCGGTGTCCACATGCGTCTGCGCCACCCATTTCGGAACACCCCTCGCGAGTTTCGTGGCCCAATAGGGAGCTCCACCGAAGCCCCCCACGACGGTGTCCACATGCGTCCGCGCCACCAATTTCGGTGCACCCCTCACGCGTTTCGTGGCCCCGTAGGGAGCTTCACCGAAGGCCCCAACGGCGGTGTCCACATGTGTCCGCGCTACCAATTTCGGCGCACCCCTCACACGTTTCGTGGCCCCATACAAAGCTCCACCGATGACTGTATTCACAACTGCAGTACTCTCAACTGCATATGGTTGGGTCCTTCGCCAGGCTAATTTTCGTTGGATCTGCACATACGCATGTATAAGATTCGCTAATCTTCACACGCACGCATTCTACGTACTTGTTTGCAGACTCGACGACCACATCAATCCCGGGGTAACTCAATTCTGTAGTTTATCCCCTACTCGAGCGGCATGGGTACCTCGTTGCATCCCCCCTGACAGCGGGGGGAGGCAGAGACTCGTCGCGCCGCGCCCCGGGCGGGGGCAAAGGGGGTGGGCGGGGGGATACGGGGCGGACGGCGGGGGCGGGGGGGACGAGGGGCGGAAGCGCTGCCGCAGGAGGAGGAGTAGGAGGAGGAGGAGGAGGAGGAGGGACAGTAAGTGGACTATGTTGATGGTGATAGTGGTGGTGGTGATGATGATGAGGATGAGGAGGAGGAGGAGGAGGGACAGCAATTGCACGAGGGTGATGGTGATGGTGGTGTTGGTGGTGATGATAATGAGGAGGAGGAGAAGGAGGAGAAGGAGAAATATAATGATGATGATGATGGTGGTCGTGATCATGACCACGATGCCGTTGATGATGTTGGTGGTGGTAGTGATGATGGTGGTGGTGAAGACTATGGTGATCGAGGATTAGGAATTGCAGGATGATGAGGAGGGGAAGGAGGAGGAGGAAGAGAAGGAGAAGAAGGATGATACTAATGATGGTGATGATGGTGGTGGTGATTATGACCACGATGCCCGTGATGATGTTGGTGGTGGTAGTGATAATGATGGTAGTGGCGACTATGATGATCGAGGATTAGGAATCGCAGGAGGATGATGGTGAGGAGGGGAGGAGGAGGAGGAGGGGGAGGAGGAGGAGGAGGAGGAGGAGGAGGAGGAGGAGGAGGAAGAGGAGGAGGAGGACGAGCACTTCTCTTGTGTCCGTGTGTGGAACTGGCTAGCGCGGTCGTGCTGACAGCTAAGGGGAGCAACGGGGGGGGGTCTTCGTTGTAGTCCTCGCCAATCTCCTCTGATTTCTGCATCGTTCACCTCCTCTCTGCTCCTCCCACCTGCTCCCTCCTCTTCCACCCCCTCTTCCTTTCCCGCCTCCGTCTTCCCCTGCCAGTCGTTGCGGATGAGGGGAGTTGCCGTCGTCATCGCCGGTTTGCGTCGTCGTCCTTCTTCTCCTCCCTGTTTGCTCCTTGACGTTCCACTCTTCGTTCTCTCCTCCTTCGCCCCGTCCCCCGTACCTCCGCCAATCGATCGATAAAAGGGAGGAGACGCTTGTTCACCACCAGTCCCGATGTGTTCGCCATCATCCGTGATCGCCATCATGAGCCCCGATATGTTCATCATCATCATCATCATCATCATCATCATCATCATCATCATCATCATCATCATCATCTCCATCATCCCATCATCACCATCATCATCACCATCGTCATCATCACCATCACCATCACTATCATCATCGTCATCGTCATCGTCATCGCCATCGTTATCATCGTCATCGTCATCGTCATCGTCATCGTTATTGTCATCATCATTACCATCACCATCACTATCACCATCACCATCGTCATCGTCGTCATCGTCATCATCGTCATCATCGTCATCATCGTCATCATCATCAGCATCATCACAATAATCCTCACCATAGTCATCATCATCAACATTGTCGTCGTCGGCATCATCATCATCATGCTCGCCATCATCATCACCATCATCATCAGCATCATCATCATTATAATCACCATCATCATCGCCATCATCATTATCGTCATCGTCGTCGTCGTCATTATCATCATCGTCACCATCATCGTCATCATCATCAGCATCATCATCGACACCGTCATCATCATCGACACCGTCATCGTTATCATCATCATCACCGTCGTCGTCGTCGTCGTTATCAGCATCACCATCACGACCATCGTCACCATCATCACATTTCAAAGTCATCATCATAATCGTCGTCGTCATCATTATCATCATCGTCACCATCATAATCATCATCATCATCATCATCAACACCGTCATCGTCATCAACATTATTATCACAGTCGTCGTCCTCGTCATCATCATCATCATCATCACCACCATCACCATCGCCATCAACATCACCACCACCATTACCATCACCATCGCAATCAACGTCACTACCACCGTCACCACCACCATCACCAACACCATCACCATCACCATCATCATCATCACCATCACCATCACCACCATCACCAACACCAACACCATCACCATCACCATCACCATCACCATCACCATCACCACCATCATCATCATCATCATCATCATCATCATCATCAGCATCATCAGCATCATCAGCATCATCAGCATCACAGCATCATCGGCACCGTCGCCATCGTTTGTCGGCATCGGCATCGGCATCGGCATCGGCATCGGCATCCCCAGCAGCAGCAGTAGCCGCGTCCGCATCGTCAGCAGCACCGTCGGCAGCATCTGCAGCAGCACCGTGCGCTTCTCGCCACCAGCCGCGTGTTTCGCCACCAGAGGAGGCGGCACGAGCCGCGGGCCGCGCGGGCTCAGGGCTCGAGCGGGCGCGGGCCCCGCAGCCCGCCCACTCTGGGCAGCTCGGGCAGCTCGGGCAGCTCCCCTGCTGGGAGAGGGGGGGCCCCATCGCCAGGGGGGGCACCCGTGGAAACCCATCGCCAGAGGGGGGGCCCCACCGCCAGGGGGGGCACTCGTGGAAACCCATCGCCAGAGGGGGGGCCCACCGCCAGGGGGGGCTGCCGCTGCCCGTCCAGAGGGCGTGCTCGGAGAGAGGTTGGAAAAACGCCATGAACACAAGCTTTCGACGCTCCGCGCGGATTTCTCGGATCTGCGCCGGGGCCCCCTTGGCGGCGCCTCCGGCGCCGCTCCTGGAAGGGGGGTCCGGCGCAGATCCAAGAAATCCGCGTGGAGCGCCAAAAGTGGGCGTGCTCGGAGAGAGATTGAAGTACAGTGGAGGCCCATGCCAAGAAACACCCTGCTTGCCTCCAGGCTGCCCTGGGTTTCCTGGGTCTCGATGGTTCTGCGATGGAGAGCGCGACGTTCCCATGCCGAAAGCCAATGGACGTCCTGGGGTCTCAGGGTTGGGCGGGAGGCTTCTTGTGGACTGGCCTCCACTGTACAGTCAACGCCCTCGGAGTCCAGGCTGCCAGGTAAGAATGGCTGCGGGCAGCCCCGGAGCAGCTGCTGCGGGGACCCGGGCTCGGGACAACGGGTCACGTCCGAGGAGAAGCACCATCGCCGCCACGCAAGAGGAATTATGATTGCCTGTGGCCGAACAATGATAAGAAACGACGTACAGGCAACGCGCCTAGTAAAAGAGCGCGCCTTCATCTGGGGTGCCCTTGTGTCCTTGCCTCTGCGGCCCGTCCTTTGCCGTTTTCACTGGTCGCCCGCCGCCCGAAAAATCCCAACTTTGGCCTCCAAGGGTGTTGCGTCCTTGCCGCCCGTCCTTACTGCACGCTTTGGCTGTATCAAAGTTGAGCAAGAAAATAGAGTCATATGGTGTGGAGGACATCTGGTGTACCTCGGTTGGTGGCGGTAGGCCCATGCTGGCGACCCTTGGTCTTGAAAGGCTTCTGGTGCCCTTCGATGCCCACCCCGTCCCGTCTCGCACCCCCTTCTGTGGTGGGAGGTGGGTGGACGGGCTGCCCTCCCCCCTGGCGTCGCAAGTACTTCGTCAGGGGTGGTGGGGATATTGCGAAAGGCGATCCCTCCACCCCCCCCCGTGGCTCGAAGTCCTCACCCCCCAAGGCGCAAAAAGTCCCCACCCCCCAAGTCATAGTCCCAGTCGAGTCCGTATGCTCCATGTCGCCGTGGTGTTGTTGTTCCCGCCGTCATGGTAACATCCGTACTGCTGCTCGCACTCGTGCTGTTTGTTGCATGGCAGTTCTGCCAGCCCCAACCGTGCTGGCAACAGGTGGCGCTGATTTCATTTGTCCTCGTAGCACCCATGCTGCCGCTCGCACCTGTACTGCTAGTCCCAGTTGTGCTGGCGATTTCGTGCTGCTGGTCGCACTCGTACTGCTCACCGACGCCCTGCTGGCTCTGACAATACTCGCGAGCCGCTGTTAGCACTCTTACTGCTCACCTGCGTCCTGCCAGACCCAGTCGTAGTGGCAGCGCTCTTGGTGCCGCTCACGCTCGTTCTGCTCACCGACGCGCTTTCAGTCCCACTCTTGCTGGTAACACCCGTACTGCTGCTCGCACTCGTATTAGTATTCGGCGTGATGCCTCTAATATTGTCAGACCTCGTAGCTCTCGTGTTGCTGCTCGCTCTCGTGCTGGTCGCTGGTCACCGCCGTAGTCACTGCTGGATCTGCTGCTCGCACTCGTACAACTCAGAGGCGTACAGCGGGTTTCAGTCGTGCTGGTGGCACTCGTGCTGCTGTTCGCACCCGTACTTCGAGCCCCAGTCGTGCTGGAATCACCCATCATGGCATGTTGTAGAAAAAAGCCACGCCCTGATCGGAGCGTCTTCCTCTCGCCGTCGCCTCCTCTTCCTGTTTCTTGACAACCGACACCCAGGCCTCTCGAGGGACGCGTTCTGGCTGGAGCCTCGAGTCGGATCCAGCCGTGGTCGCGGGGGCGCCCCCGGAGACCCAGAGAATTGGTCTCGACCCTCGAGCCTCGACCCTCGAACCTCGATGCTCGAACCTCGATCCTCGAGCCTCGATCCTCGAGCCTCGATCCTCGAGCCTCGATCCTCGAACCTCGACCCTCGAACCTCGATCCTCGAGCCTCGATTCTCGAACCTCGATCCTCCCGCCGCCTCCCCTCACCCCCTTGCGGCGGGGGGAGAAGCCTCAGGACAACTTCGAGTGGGAGCGGGGCTACGTCGAGCGCTTCGGTGTGACCTTCTCGGAGCGCGCGCCAGTGGCGAGGAGGAGGAGGAGGAGAAGGAGGAGGGGGAGGTGGAGGAGGAGGAGGAGCAGGAGGAGGAGGAGGAGGAGGAGGAGGAGGAGGAGGAGGAGGGAGGAGGAGGAAGAGGAGGGAGATGAGTCGAGAATGAGGAGGAAGCGAGAGGGAGGAGGCGGAGGGGGATCGAGGATCGATGTTTTTCGGCGTCATGGTCCTTTTCGGGCCTGCTGAGACGCCCCGGTTGCTGCGGCTGCATCCGCCCCCGAGATTCTGGCCACAACGCCACCCACGACATGTCGAGGGGTCGAGTTTCGATGATGACGGCGATGATGGTGGTGACGAGGATGACGACGATGACGATGCTGACGATGCTGATGTTCCCGATGATGTGGTTTTGAAGATGATGCTGGTGATGATGGCGATGCTGATGATGTGTATGACGTCGACGACGGGGACCAGGTTTTTGGTGGTGAGGATTACGTTGATCATACTCATGCCAAGACTGATGAAACTTGTGAAGCTGACGCTGATTCTGCTGCTGATACCGACGCTGATGCTGGTGGTGATGATGGCGATGCTGATGATTATATTATTATGGATGATGAATGGTGCTGATGATGATGCTGCTGCTGATGATGAGGATGCTAATGATGGTGATGGTGGTGATGCTGATGCTCATGACGACGATGCTGGTGATGACTATGATGACGATGACGACGACTATGACGACGATGACGATCATGGTCATGATGATGCTGTTTATGATGATGGTGATGATGATGATGATGATGATGATGATGATGACGAGGCTGATGATGATGTAGATGATGATGCTGATGCCGATGATGACGATGATGACGATGATGAGGATGACGATGCTGACGATGATGATGCTGATGATGATGCTGATGATGCTGGTGATGCTGCTGCTGATGATGTTGCTGATGCTCTTGCTGGTGCTGATGACGATGATGCTGATGATGATGATGCTGTGGATGATGATGAAGCTGATGATACTGATGATGATACTGATTTCGACGATGATGATGAAGAAAGAAAATGATGCTGAAGATGATGATGACGATGATTCTGATGATGCTTATGACGACTATGATGATGGTGATGATGCTGATTGTGATGATGGTGCTGATGATGATTATGATGATGATGATGATGCTGACGATGACGATGATGAGGATTACGATGCTGAACATGATGATGCTGCTGATGATGATGCTGCTGATGCTGCTGCTGACGATGATGTTGATGCTGTTGCTGCTGCTGATGACGATGCTGATGATGCGGATGATGATGATGCTGATGATGATGATGATGCTGATGATGATGCTGCTGATGATGCTGATTATGACAATGATTTTGATGCTGATGGTAAAGAAGATGCCGATCATGATGATGCAGATGATGCTGATGACCACGATGATGGATGCCATCATTTTTTAGCTGCTGTTGTTGCTGATGATGTTGCTGGCAATGCTGCTGATGATGAGTGTCCCGATTGCGATCGGATGTTGGGGTTGAGACCGAAGTGAAGCATGAGTTGCCCCACTTCGAGGGTGTGTCCCAAGAGGGGACATAGGTTTGCCTGACACCGCTGCCGTCTTGCTCTTGGTTCAAGGCAGCGCCGCCCAATCTCTGCCAGCGTAGGCGTCGCTGCCTGCACTCTATCTGAGGTGGTTATAGGAAAGAGACAAGTGCGCCCTTCTCTCCTCCATCACCATCCTGTTCCAGGGGTCGAGCTAAACGGTGTTTTGGTGATTTCGTGGGCTGTTTTCGTTTCGACTTCGTTTTGCGTTAAAGGCGGACTGCAGACAACACGAGGGAAAACGAAACCAAAGAGAAAACGAACAACACCGTTTAGGTTCAGCCGTGTCCTGTTCCGCCCGTGGCCTGGAACACCTCGTCCAAGCTGCCCCATCCAGGAGATCGTGTCGTGCGTGACGTGCGTACGGGCGTCGGGGAGGCAGCTGCGCGAGCTCCCCCACTGGCTGGGGCCGAGCCAGGCAACACGGACTTCCCCCCTCCTCGCCGGCCTTTGTCCGGGTCGTCTCGCTGGTTTCCCGATGGTTGTCCCGATGGCTGGCCCGATGGCTTTCCCGATGGTTGTCCTGGGGGTTGTCTCGATGGTTGTCCCGATGGTTGTCCTGATGGATGCTCCGATGGTTGTCCCGTTGGTTGTCCTGCTCGTTTTCCGCATGGTCGTCCCGATTGTTGTCCTGAACGTTGTCTCGATTGTTGTCTTGAGGGTTGTCCCGATGATTTTCGCGATGGGTTTCCCGATGTTTGTCCCGATGCCTGTTCCTATGCTTGTCCCATGGTTGTCCTTCTGGTTGTCCCGATGCTTGTCCCGATGCTTGCCCGATGGTTGCCCTGATAGTTTTCCCAATGGTTTTCCCGATGATGGTCCCGATGGTTGGCCTGAGGGTTGTCCCCATGGTTGTCCCGAAGGTTTTCCCGATGGTTTCCCCGATGGTTCTCCCGATGCTTGTTCTGATTTGGTTGTCCCGATGAAAATTCCGATGGGTGTTCCGATGGTTGTCCCGATGCTTGTCCCGATGGTTTCCCGATTGTTTTCCCGATGATCGGAAGGAAGAGACAATCTATGCCAGTCCCGATGGTTGTCCCAGTGGTTGTCCCGATGGTCTCCCATGGTTGTCCCGATGGTTGTCCCGATGGTTGTCCCGATGGTTGGCTTGATGAGCGCTGCAGCCTGGTCTGAACAAATTGCCTCCCAGCAAGGCGTTTCGGTGCGATGCAGGCGATGCCGCTGCTGATGTGGGAGGGAAGTTTGGTCGACATTCATCTTGATGGCCCCGTGCGTGTCCACTCGCGAGGGAAATTGCGCGTCCATTGCACGTCACAGATGATGCCCCCCAACTCCTTATGACCCGGAGGGTTGCTTATAAGGCCTATGAGGTATTGATTACGATCTCTTCGGCAACGACGATGGCGACAATGATGATGGTGGTGGTGGTGATGATGATGGTGATTGTGGTGGTGGTGATGGTGATCTGATGATGAGAATGAAGATGAAGATGAAGATGAAGATGATGATGATGCTGCTGCTGCTGATGATGATGATGATGCTGATGCTGCTGATGATGACGATGACGATGATGATGATGATGCTGATGATGATGATGATGATGATGATGATGATGATGGTGATTATGACGATGCTGATGTTGGTGGTGGTGATGAGGATGGTGGTGATTATGCTGCTGAGGAGGAGGAGGAGGAGGAGGAGGAGGAGGAGGACCGATAACGCTGCGAGCATCGCGCTTGACGTCCGATGAGCGTCAAAAAAAGGAGGAACAGGAGCATGAGGAGGAGGATGAGAAGGAGGAGGAGGAGGAGGAGGAGCAGGAGGGGGAGGAGGAGGAAGAGGAGGAGGGGGAGGAGGAAGAGGACGACGAGATGGAGGAGGAAAGGGGAGCATGATGGAGGGGCTCATCGTCCTCGTCGTTGCCGCTCGCTTTTCCCCTATCTCCCTGCCCCCCCCCGCCCCTCCCTATACTCAGCCTGGGCGCCGGCTCTGGTCGCCCCCGCCACTGCCGTGGCCGCGGCAGAGGGCAGCCTCTGAGCCCGCCTGGCTCGGTGCAGCTTCCTGCGTGTGCGCCACTCCCATGACTGCCCCTTCGCGAGTGCTGCTGCCGATCCCCTACTGTGAAGCCCATGCCAAGAAACACCCTGCTTGCCTCCAAGGTGCCCTGCGTTTCTTGGTTTTCGATGATTCTACGATGGAAAGCGTGACGTCCCCGTACAGAACATCAATGAACATCCTGGGGTCTCAGGGTTGGGTTTCTTGTGGAAGGTTTCTTGTGGTCGAGCTCCTACTGTACGGTGTGATCCAGCTTCTCCACACTGCGTGAGCTGGCCTGGTTCCCGCGCTCTTCGCTTGTCTTGCCCTGCGCAGCGCCGCCGCGCTCGTGGCCGCGACGCCAGACCGTGTGCGCCACTCGCGCTGGCCTCGGAAGGTCTCGAGGACCGCCCATCGGCGCAGCCAACGTGTACGTCCTTCAGCCGTATCCTGGTGTCGCCGCCCTGGTGCGTGGTGGGGGCCCACCTGTGCAAAACACCCAGCACCTTCAGCACTATCCTGCACCCGACGGACGGCTTGCTCGTAAGGGTACTGCGAGCAGGACCCCCCGTCTGGAGTTTCCTCACGACACTGGGATGACAGTATGTCTGGCGAACTGCAGGTCGGCTGGTTCTGGCTCTGGTGCACTCCCACCACTAGATTGTGCGGACCTGCCTCGGCGGCTTGCGCGGAGGGGCAGAATGCCGAGACCCCAGTGCCGCTGTCTGGGTGCAGGGTTACGTCCAGCACTGCGCAGTGAACACGGGCACCCGCACGCGACAACGAGCCAAAGTAGTGCATCCCGCTTCCACGAGAGCCGCGCCGATGTGGCATAACGAAGCTTACCATCTCGTGTGGAAGGCACCAGGCAGGCTGCCACACGAGCCGCTTATGGACTCCCTGCCCGGACCCCCTCATCTCAGCGTTTCTCGCTGCCAACTCTCAGGGACGTCGCGCTTCACAGTTCACCACGTGTGCGCCACTTCCCAGGACGCCGCCGCGATCTGTTTCACCCCGCTCGCTGGCCGAGGCCACCCGCGGGGGTGCGCAGGTGCCCGCGCTGCGCGCGTCGCGGTCCGGGCCAGAGGCCTCCTGGCCGCTCGTCGCAAACGCGTCTTCCTCGTACCCCGGCGTGTGCCTCCCCAGGGTGTGGGGGGTAGGCTGTGGTGGGACTGTGCCCTTCCCCTCTCCCTCGCTCCCTTCTCCTCCTCTCCGTGCTCTCCCTCCCCCTCCGTTCCTCGTCCCCCCCTGGGGTGCACACTTCTCGCCGCGGGTCACTCCCCCGCCGGGGTTTTGCGTCTCTCGGAGGTGTGTTTACTTATTTTGAGGGGATGAGGACAATGGACGCGGCTAACCCATACCCCATTCGGGGTACCCCCGTCTGTACTGAATTGGAGGGGTATGGCCGTTGCTGCTGTATTTGTGTCCTCTTGATTGTGCTCGGGTCGGCCATCCTCTGTGCCATAAGGATTGCTGTGGGGCGGGAGTGCGCACCCTCCCCGGGTTCATCACTCCGCGGAGGCGGTGGGGGGCTTTGGCTCTTTCCTCCGTGGGGGTTTCGGCTCCGGCTGGGGCTGCGGTGCCAGCAGCGGATCCTGGGGTGCAGATCGGCGACTCGTTTGGCCAACGCGCGCTGGTTTTTGAGCCGCATGTGGCGTGTGGCGTTAGACGGCCCCAAGTTTTCTCTCGGGTGAATTTCGATGTGCGTGTGTGTCTACACGGATGCGTGCTCCTTTAAGGGGATCTTGCAGGAACAGGCGTCATAATATGTTTGTGATTCATCCTGCGACGCTTTAAATTGTTTCTGGGCCTCATTGTCGTGTGCTCGGGTGGCATCAACGGGGTCGATTTGTCTAACCAAGTAGGCGCCTTGCGCCACCGCTGGTGCGGCCACCTTCTTGGCGCCACTTTGTTTCGGTCTCTGGTGCTAAGGTGTCGCAGAGTCATGCCGCACGTGATGGGTGAGTTCATGAGGGGGAAACAATAGGTTTTGAATACACATCTATCATTGGGGGGAAGATTTGTTTTCGCGGTTGTTTTTGATCCCTTCCCTCTCATGGTAGATGTGCTCCACTTGGTCGTGTTTCTCCAGGTGGCTGTTTCGGTCGAGCTGGCGGCGATCCTCGGAAGGGCGTCCGCTCCGCGGGGGCGGCTGGCGGTTCTATAGTTCCGTCGAGCAGGCCTGTTTCCTCGTGTGGCAGGTGCGAGCCGCCCCCGCGCCCTTGCAGCCAGGGCTGCCTCTTGATTGTCTTTCTCTATGGAGGTAGTGTGTGTGTGTGTTGTGTGTGTGTGTGTGTGGGTCTGATTATGTTTCCCCTCCCTCTTCCCTGCCCCACAACCACACGTGCCCCTTTTGGACTGGTGCCCCCCCCGTGGCAGCCAAGCTTCGCCCATGGCCGCGGCGCACAGGTGGCGCACGCGCACGGACGGAGCGACGTGTGCAGCTCGGCCATGGCGGTGGTAGGACCGAGGCTGTGCCTCGGGGCTCGGACCGTCGTGGCTGCCACGCGCACGTGCCCAGGTCGATGCCCGCCTCCCATAAAGCCCCCAGGCCACGCGCGCCTCCTCCTCGAGGGCCCGGCCCTCGCGCTCGCGGCGTGCCTGCCTGGAGGCGGGGGCGGCCCGGGCCAGAGCGGCTGCCCTTTCGGCGCGAGGGCTCGAGGGCATCGCCGCACGCCGCGCACCGTGGGCTGCGCTGCGCGTGCTGCGCGCTCTCGCGTGCTGCGCGCTCTCGCGTGCTGCGCGCTCTCGCGTGCTCCTCTCCCCCTCTGCCCGCCCGTGGCCTCTCTGCCGGGGCCCGCCGCCGCGGCGAGCCGGGCCCCCCCTGGCGGGCTCTCCCGGCCCCGAGAGCCCCGGCCAGGCTCGGGGCGCGAGAGCCTGGACGGGTCGCGCCTTCGGCGGCGGGGGAGCGCAGCCTTGGCCCGGGCAGGCGGGCTCGGCTCCCCCTCGCCCCCCGCGTGTGTCAGGAGGGGAAGAAACACACAGACACAGCTAATCGTCAATTCCCAGGAAAATGTAGGAAAATATGGGAAGTGGGGGGGAAGATAAAAACCCAGAAAATATGGGGAATCTGTTTATTTGAGTGTATTTATTTGTGTGTCCCAGGGCCCCTTCAGTGTGGTCCGAGCAGAGGGGGTCGACGTACTCCGCCGCAGCCGCGATGCCTCTCGGCGATGCGGCGCGATCTGGGGCGCGGCTGTCTCCACCCCGACGTCGTCAGCGCACGGCAGATGCATCGGCGTTGAGGCGCGACCCTCCGGCGCCACCTGCCTGTTTGGGCGGTCTCCATCTCCCCACCCTTCCTCTGCCCACAGCCTCGTCACTCCCCCTCCCTCCTTCCTCCCTTTCTCCCTCTCCATCCCCCTCACCCTCCCTCCCTCCTCTCTGTTTGTCCTCCTCCTCCTCCTCGTTCTCCTCTTCCCTCCTCCCTCCTCCCTCCCTCGTCCGAGTGGAACCCTTTCACTGCTCGAACAGTTCTGGCATGAGTCACGCTGGTGAGCCAAACTCCTGCCTCCCTCCTCCCTTGCTCCTCCCTCCTCCTCCCCCCGCCCCTTGCACCTCCCCCCCCTTCTCCTCCTTCGCCTCTTTTCCTCTCTCCCTCCCTCCCTACCGTCGTCCTACCTCCTCCATCCTCGCTCCTCTTACCACCTCTCCTCCTCCTCCTCCTCCCTCCTCCTCCTCCTCCTCCTCCTCCTCCTCCTCCTCCTCCTCCTCTCCTCCTCCTCCTCCTCCTCCTCCTCCTCCTCCTCCTCCCTCCTCCTCTCCTCCTCCTCCTCCTCCCTCCTCCTCCTCCTCCTCCTCCTCCTCCTCCTCCTCCTCCTCCTCCTCCTCCTCCTCTCCCCTCTCCCCCCTCCTCCCCCCCCGTCCTCCTCCTCCTCCTCCTCCTCCTCCTCCTCTTTTTTTAACGCTCACCCCCAGCCAATTCCACGGGTGCGTTCTGAGCAGAGTTGCGACGCGGATCCAGCCGAGCCCACGGGGATGCACCGACTCGGGTCAGAACGGTTCCGATTCTGTCCTCGCGATCCTCGACCCTCTCCGTCCCTGCTCCCTCCCCCAGAGCTCATTTCGACTCCTCTGACTCGACTCGTTTGGATTTCGAGCGATTCCGATTCCGATTCCGATTCGAATTCGGATTCCGATTTGGTTTTTGGTTTATCAGATTCGACTTATGCTGATTGAGCTGCCGATGTCCGCCGATCCGATTCATTCCGATCGCCGCCCCGACTTCTCGATTCGACTCTTGGCTCTCCCCGCACCGCTCCCGCGTCCCCGGCGGCGCGGAGGAGTTCCACTTCAAGGCCGACAGGAAGCTCAGCGGCGCCGGCCAGCGGCTCAACTTCAGCGGCGAGGCGAAGACGGTCGCGAAGAACCAGCCCACCGCAGGCGGGGGCCGGGCGAGCAGCTCGCGATCGTGGTGTTGGAGAGATGGCGTGCGATGTGCCGCTGCCAGCCCGCTTATCACACGTTATCCCCCACCTTTGCGATAGCGTGCACCGACAAATAATAGTAATACGAATACTAATAATACTAATGCTAATCATACGAATGATGATACGAGCAATGTTCCTAATACGGGTAAGACGTGTAATAAAGAACATGATGCAACAACGACGCGAATACTACGAGTACTATTAATACCAAGAATAAGAGTACCAGTCGTACTACTAAACATGCTGTTACTAATTATCATAATATTAGCATGTTCTTTCAACCTTACTATTGCTGCTGCTGCTGCTGCTGCTACTACTACTACTACTACTACTACTCATAGAATTATATTGAAACAGTGATACACGAACAATAAACACTACGAACATTAACGACACCACCAGCAATCATATTACTACTATTACTAACACTAACAGCAGTATCAATGACACTACTGATCGTACTACTGATTACAATACTACTGATGCTAATAGTAGCACTAGTAGCACTACTCATACGATTACATCTAGCAATCGAAGCAGTACTACTCATACCAATACTAGTAAGAGTATGGCGATTAACATTATCACTAGTATTAATACTAATAACGTTACCACTAGTATTAATACTAATACGTTGAATAAGCATAGTAATCATGCCAAAAGAAAGATTGCGAACACTAATACTAGTACGACTAACATTTATCATTCCAGTATTCATAATCATACATTGAATCTTGCTAAGAATGATACAACTACTAAAACGAAGAAGGAGTCCTGGCAGGGGGAGGGATTGCACAGAAGGGACCCTCGCCTCACAGGGATGCGCTGTGATCTTCCGATGTCGATGATGCCCGCTATCTTTCCAACGCCAACCGTCAGGGCGGGAGGGGGGGGGGCGGCGGGCGGTAGCTGTGGCGCGGGCGTCGTCGCGGCCGCTCGTGGGTTCGCTGCGGCAGTCCCGCTCATTTTCGCGGCCTTGGGGGAGCGGAGGGCGCGGTCGGGCGTCGAGAGGCTGCTTCGATGCGCCATGGGGAGGGCCAGAGTGAGCCGAGGATGGGTCCACGATGCAGCAACACGCCCTTCCGTCCAACGTTCCGGAAGAGACGGAGGAGGAGGAGGAGGAGGAGGAGGAGGAGGAGGAGGAGGAGGAGGAGGAGGAGGAGGAGGAGGAGGAGGAGGAGGAGGAGGAGGAGGAGGAGGAGGAGGAGGAGGAGGAGGAGGAGGAGGAGGAGGAGGAGGAGGAGGAGGAGGAGGAGGAGGAGGAGGAGGAGGAGGAGGAGGAGGTGGAGGAGGAGGAGGAGGAGGAGGAGGAGGAGGAGGAGGAGGAGGAGGAGGAAGAGGAGGAGAGGAGGAGGAGGAGGAGGAGGAGGAGGAGGAGGAGGAGGAGGAGGAGGAGGAGGAGGAGGAGGAGCCAAAGCCTCCTCCGCGAACGCCTCCATGGACGAGCTTCGAGGGCTCCGCCAGCGCAGACGACCCCTGCCTCGCCGCCGGCGCAAAGTGTAGTTCCGGGGCCCCCAAACGGGGTGGTGACCACGCCGTGTGGTGAGTCGGTAGGGATTTGGGGTCACCGCACGGTTTTGGGACTTGGGTCGTTCTCCGAGGATGTCTCCGGCGACTGGGGCCTCCAGGGTCCCAAAACCGTGTGGTGACGGACCCTGCGGTGAGGTTTTTGCGGATTTCGAGGTCACCGCCGGGTCTGTCACCACACGGTTTTGGGACTCCCAAGTAGTTGCTGCCAGCGTGTCAACATCTGGTTCTGCTTGCCAGCGTGTACCCCCCAGGTCAAGTTCGCACAGGCGGTTTTCACGTGCGCTTGGGCACAGGAGCTTTCGTTCCCCCTTCTGGCGCACGGGGGGAGGGTGGGTTCCAGACCCCCCACTCGGCGCAAAGGGGTGGGGGGCTCGAACACTCCCGCCCTTGTTCGCTGCCGGCAAAAGACGGCGACGGCGACAAGGAGGGCGAGGACGAGGGAGGACGATGACGAGGACGAGAACGAGGACGAGGACGACGACGGCGACAACGACGACGATCATCTTGCGAACATGTGATGTAACAGGCTGGTTTTGCTTTTATTTTTGTGGACTTCGATTAATGGAAAGGAAACAGGCTGCCAAATAATTTCCCGATGTCTAAGAATGTTTCAAACATGTTTAAATATGTAAGAACATGTTTGAAACGTTTTTAAACATGTTTCACACATTTTAAGCACACCTTTAATTCAGTGATCGGATTGTTAGAGTGTCCATTGTCATGGCATCCGCAATTCTACTTGTTTCGCCCTCTCCCTTGTACCGCCCACCAGTTACCGGGCGAAGAGCGGTATGACACAACAAACTTTGTCGCTGTCGGGGGCGCCCCTGCCCCAGGGCGGCTCGGCAGTTTATGCCCTTGCGGTGACACGTCAGCATGATGTCTAGTGTTTCTGCGGCAAGTGCGGGATCGGCGACTGGAGAGTAGCAGCCAAAGGCCCACATTCTTGGAATCGTATGACAGGCGATGTCCTTCACCACATGAGCGTCTGCCAGTCTTCACCCGCCCGTGCCCGGAGCGGCCGCCCCTTCGCGGGCATACGGTCATGACCTCGACCTTGGTGGCACGTCAAGGTGTAAACTTTCCAACCGCCCTGGGGCTGCGCCCCCGGCGACGGAACAGTTTATTTTATACCGCTTCTTCGCCTGCTGAATCAATCGGAGGTGGATAGACCTCCTACCCTGACACGTCGATTAAGGAATCGGCCGTTTTCGGTTCGCGAGAGGGCGTCGCGGCCGTCATTTTTGCATGTCCAGGTCCGTCGGTTTCGGTCCCAGGCCGTTTTCCTTAAGGGGAGGTTCACTAAAGGGAGGTCTGTCCACCGCCGGATCAAATCTGTGAGCCAGTTCCCCTCTCGGCTTTTCCTTGCGTGCCGGCACCAGGACAAAAAAGGCATCCAGCATGTGCATTTTGTGTGCGCACCGCGCCGTCATGGCCGCCTCGCGAGGTGGCGCGCCCGCGGGCAACTCACCAGCTTGGGTTACGGCGGGCCTGTCCCTCCACAGGAGGAATATCCAACAATAGTCGAAGATAGTCTCGGGATGATTTTCGTTTTTTTTTTTTTTTTATTTAGGTTAATTCATTTTTTGTGTGTTTTTTATTACTATTTTGGGTTATTCAATCGTTTCGCTCATTCCGCCGGCCCATGTTACATGATCGCTACTGCTTCGCCGTGGGCCCGGGGCCATTGTGGCGCCGCCGAGGAGGAGGAGGAGGAGGAGGAGGAGGAGTAAGATGAGGATGGGGGAGGGGAGGGGGGAAGGAGGAGAGGATGAGAAGGAGAGGAGGATGAAGAGGAGGAGGAGGAGGAGGAGGAGGTGGAGGAGGAGGAGGAGGAGGAGGAGCAGGAGGAGGAGGAAGGGGACGGCGCGGAGGAGGAAGACTCTCGTTGGCATTTTGTGTTGCTCTTGGGGCCAAACAGGGTCGTCGTCAAGATGCTTCTTCGGGAGGCCTCTTGGGGTCTTTTGAGAAGCCGTTCGGTGGCGCCTGGGAGACATTTTTGAATTTCTGGGGCCTTTTGGGGCCTCTTTTGGGCCTCCTGGGGTCCTCCTGGTGCCTCTTGGGGGCCTCTTGGCGGCATGTCTTGGGGCCTCTTGGGGGCCTCTTGGGGGTCTCTCGGGGCCTCCTGGGGCCCTCTTGGGGCGGACGGCTCGAGTTTTCGGTTCGTGGTCCCCCTCTTGGGCCCCTCTTGGGGCCGTCTTTGAGCCGTCTTGGGCCGTCTTGGGCGCCTCTTGGGCCGTCTCGGAGCCCTCTTGGGCCCTCTTGGGGCCCTCTTGGAAGCCTCTTGGCCCGTCCTGGGGCGCTCTTGGGGGCCTCTTGGGCCGTCTTGGAGCATCGGATGGCCGAAAAGGCGACAAGGCCAAAATCCTTCCAAAGCCATAGTGACATTGAGGATTGTGGCCTCTCGGGCCCTCTTGTGAGGCCTCTTGGAGGCCACTTGGAGGCCTCTTGGGCTGTCTTGTGGTCATCATCGGCGTCTTGGAGCGCTCTTTGGGCGTCTCGGGGGCCTCTTGGACAGTCTTGGGGGCCTCTTGGGTCAGGAGGGGGGGTAGTCGATTGCGCCCCTCCCCTCGGAGGCCACGATCCTCGTGAGGGGTGTCGAAAAATTGCCCGGTCTGGCATCTCTGATCCGAGTGTCCCCCGGGTGTCCCGGGGGTGTCCCAGGGTATTTTTCGTCGGGGGACCCCCAGGGGCGGCCCCGCGCGCGCGAACTAGAATATTGTTGACCAGTTACCAGAGATCTTAGCACGCCCTTGGCCTGTTGGGCCGGCGAATATTTCACAACATCCCACAATTAAGGCCTCCGTCGCCACCCAAGAAAGATCCCAGGAAGCCTTTCAGGGCCCCTAATCGTCGAATACCTGAAGGAAATTTATGATTTGTGCGTTTTCGCATTTTCCATTCTATACGCTTCCGAGGCCTGCGCAGGGCCTCCAACAAAGCCCCTGGGTGCAAGGAGCGTCAAATCTGATATTCCATGCGTTAGCCTATACAGCGTAGCTAGAACCTGAGCGCGCGCGAAGCGCGCGATGGTTCTAGTGTATATAAGTATACATAGGTGTATATATATATATATATATACACACATGTATCTGATTATAGATGTGTGTATCTATGGGTAGGGGGGTCCCAGGGCCCCCAAAGTGCACTGAATTGTCTTCTGTCCGTTTAGGGCCGTCTTGGAGGCATCTGGGGCGATCTTGGGGCGACCTTGCCGTCGGGGCCGTCGGAAGGCCGAACAAGCCAATACAAGCATTCTTCAAAAACTTAGGGCCACGGCGTGGCTAGAGGCGTCAGAAAGAAAGGAAGAAACAGAGAAAGAAGGAGCGGGTGGCGAAGGAATACAAAACAAACGCCCAGGACGCGGGTGGAAGCGTGGTTCTGCCCGTGGCAGCGCATGGCTGAGCCACGGCCACACAGAGCGGGGGGCCCTCCATCGCCTCCTCTGGCCAGCCTGCGCGACGACCGTCCCATGTGTGGCATGTTGTTTGCTGTTTTCCTTTCTTTTCGTTTTGTTTTGCCCATCCGCGTCCCATCCGTGCCCCCACCCGCGTCCCATCTGCGCCCCCCCCTGCCCCGGCTGCCCGTGCGCGCCCGCCGAGAGACCCTCGGGCCCCTCGGCGCTCCTGGGCGGCTCCCGGCGGGGGCCTCTCGGGCGGACCTGCGGCGGCCTCCGTTGCCGTTTTGGCCCGAGTTTGGCCCAGGTTTGGCGCGAGCTCTGTTTTTGTTGCCCCTCCCAGTTCGCCGGGACCGATCATCTTGTCACCTTCCGCTCCAGACTCGCGCCGCGTCGGGCCCGATGCCGGCCCTGTCCCCGTCGGGCCTTCTTGTCATCTCGTACGTGCTCAGGCCAGTTCTCGGTGCGCCCGTGTTGGACACTTTCGTTGACTCACCCCAGTATTCCCTCGTCGTCGACGCAGGCTCCTCGGGCAGCCGTCTGCGGATGTACAACAAGACGGAAGATGGCGTGGAAGAGATCAAACCACACGAGGAGGACGAGGACAGCTTTGAGACGGAGCCTGGTCTGTCATCTTACGCAGGAAATCCCGATGACGCGGGGCCTTCTTTGAATGCTTTGCTCCAAGCGGCAGCGAAATACGTCCCTGAATCTTACCGGTCCACAACGCCTCTGTGGATCAAAGCGACGGCCGGCATGCGCCTTGTTCCAGAGGAGCAGTTGGGGGGAATGTTTACGTCGTTGGACCAGTACCTCTCTGAAACAGTTTCGGTGAATCCTTTCAAATACATGGGATCCGAGGTACTGGGTGGTGAAGAAGAGGCAGTCTTTGCGTGGATCAGTATGAATTTCATTCTTGGGACTATCTTCCAGGGGTACACTAAGACCTCCGGAATCTTAGATATGGGCGGGGCGTCGATGCAGGTGGCCTTCAACCCTGGTAAGGACATCATGTCTAACGAGTTCTCCTTCTACGTGAACGAGAAGCGGATGTCCGTGTATGCGAAGAGCTTCATCAAATTCGGCCTCGCGACGGCTGTGCAGCGTGCCATGGTGGAGGCGGCAAAGCAAGCGGGCGCTGGCAAGACCGAGGTGATGTATCCTTGCTACAACAAGGGATACAACGAATCGGCGGAGATCGACGGGAAACAAGTATCATTCGTTGGGTCCGGCGACCCTACTGCTTGCGATGCCATTGCCCAAGGGCTCCTCCATTTGGAGTATGAGTGTTTGCTTGAACCGTGCGCGCTCATGGGCGTGCACATGCCAAAGGTCATCAAGTCGAAGACATACTACGCCATCGCGAACTTTTTCTACATCGCCAATGGCTTGGACCTGATCGGCTGGAGCGAATCGAAGAGTCTGAGTCCCTCGGCTATTCTGGAGAAGGCCAAGAGCTTCTGCCAAATGCCGCTCGCAGAGGCGGAGGCGGCCTCCGCGGCGCCGTGGAAATACAAGAAGAATCATTGTTTCGGGGGCCTCTACATGTTCCACATCCTCACGGCGTACGGCTTCGCGGACGACGCCGACAATATCTCGGGGAAGAAAAAACGACGCAAACATAAACTCTCTGAGGTCCGCGCGGATTTCTTGGATCGGCGCGGATGCCCCTCCCCGGAGCTCGGAGCGCGTCGGGAGTGGCGTCTTTTGCGCCGCCAGTTGGTCCAGTGCTGATCTCCGACAGTTAATGTTTATGCCGGTTTTCCCTCTTCGAACATAGTTTTCGCGCGGAAGCTCGACGGCAAGACCGCCGACTGGAGCATGGGTGCTGCCCTCTTCGAGACGCAGTACATGCCCGTCCACCTCATGACGCGGCAGGTCCGGCCCGGCGGCGACGAGGACTGCGCGGCGCCCGAGGCCGAGGAGGGACGACGGCAACGGCGGCGGAGACGGCGGCGGCGACGTCGGCGGCGGCGGAGTCGGCGCGGCGCCCCGCGGCCGCGATCGCGGTGGGGTCACGGGTCGCGTTCGCGACCCCCCGAAACATCGGCGACAGATCGACGACGAGACATCGACGAGACATCGCTCGAGGCTCGTCGCCCCGGGGGGCCCGTCCTCGCGCCACGGGGCTCGCAGAGACGAGCCCGGGGCACGAGACTGTCTCCCCCGACGTCGCAAGTTGCTTCGTGCGTGTGGGCCCCCGAATGTCTCGACAATTTCCCAGAGCCGGCTTTTCCTCAGGAGGCCGAAGACGTCGACAAAAGCGCCCGTTGCATGCTTTTTGCGTCGCCAGGGTCCGACCCAAATTCCGCTCAAAATGGGTCCCCGGACCCTCCCTGGGGTCCTAACGCACCAGTCTTCCCGGCCAGGCAGCTTCGAGCCTCGAGGCTCGATCCTCCCTGGACCCTCCCAGCGCCGCGCTCCCCTCCGTGGCGCGGCGCCCGGCGAGGAGCGTGCCGCCGCGGGTGCCGTGGCC